TTCAATCAAACAAAAGGAAAGATGGAAAACGTTCCCTTAATTGAGTCATCTATAGACGAGTAATTAACGATGCGAGCCATACAAAAACAACAACCATCGCCGAGAAAATGGGATGTGGCTAGGGCTTTTTTCTCACCGTCTGCAAAACAACTAGTCGATTGGAACGCTAATTTCAAGCAGCAAACTTGCACGTAACGAAATATTGCTCCGCTGCGCTTATATTCGGATTTTCTTGGTCCCAATTAAGCATCCCAAAAAAAAACATTGTTAAACAAAATTAAATATATTCAGATTTTTGAGAAGAAACAAAACTGTATTGTTCTTTTTCTCTATTGATTGAATTGAATAGCATTTAGGAAGCTTCATTTATATGTATCTTAGCACAATGGTCAAAATCCGAGGCCAGCGTTACATCGAACTGGTAATTGCATATATCAAAATACAGCAAGAAATGGTTCTTACTACCGACCGAATGAGACAAAAAACTGAAACTAAACCAATTCAAATTTAAACAAGGTAGCAGGTTACTGTGCAATTAGCACAGAATATTCCGACCATAGTCTCAAACGAAAAAATAGAACTTAGGCATATTTGACATTCACAGTAAAATATATCAATTCGAAAACAGTTTTTGTAGTAAAATGACAAATGACTGGAAAAACGAAAAAAAAAAATTGTTACAAAAATTCAAACAAAAATCGTTACAAAAATTCCATTTTTTTCAGAAACTTATTAAATTTGGAAGTTTTTGATGCCCAAATTGGGGCTAAAAACTCCGAAACCTAACTTTACTTGAGTAAAACTAAGTTTTCACGGCTTAAATTAAGCATAAATAAGCTTTTGTAAGCCTACTTAGCTTCACTAATTAGCTTGAAACTAAACCAAAAAGCAAAAGCTTCAAACAAATTTTACTCGACACTGAAGCATTTTTCAAATTTTTAAATGTCATTCGAAACACGACTGAAAGTGCTTTAATATGATATATCACTCGACCCATTCCGATGATTATTTGTGGTACCTGATTTTGCGTAGAAAACAAAAACAAAAAAAACTTAAGCACCCGAATAGAAAGTTCCTCACATTTTTCAAATGATCGGAACAAAAAACTGTCATTTGTGCCAACGAAAAAAACAAAAACCAAAAAATATATAATTCTTCAATTTGACTCAAGGCTGTGCAGCTAATTTGTCAGGGTTATAAAGTCTGTGGTCAAAAAATGACAAACGACAGATTATTTTTGGTAACAATTTCCTGTCGGATATCATATTCAGCCTGTTCTGATTTATTAGCAAAGCTCGCTAAAATTGGGAGAAAAATTTTCCTTGTTTTGTTTAAAATGCAAAGCTATGTGACTGCAGCTCCATAAAAATAGATTTAGATGACTATTTCTACAAAAATGAACAAAGCTATCAAAAACTCATCTCCTATCCTTAAGTAAACAAAGAATATTTTTAGACTGAACCTGGGTTATGTACATGTATAAAATATCCATTACGAAGGTCAGTCTCAGTAACATGCCGAGGGCGATTCTGATTGTCAAATATTTCGGAAGGGTTTGGTTACATTTCAAGACATCCATTTTTGGGCAGTCAACCCGTAAATTAATCTGAAGACATATTTGGCGCCAATATATTTTAACTTTGAGCCTTAGAGGAGGGCGATCAAAAAAGCTGTGATCAAAAAAAGTGATCAAAAGAGTAATGAACGCAAGTAAACATGATCGCTTAAAAAAAGTTGACAATATTTTCAATTTTATTTTGAAAAATCATCTTTTTCCTCCTCAAAAAATTCTGCTTACACCGCTTGTTAAACGTATATCATATTTTCTCAACTCTGACAGAATTTACAAAAAATATAAAACAAAGTTGGCGTAATTATATTCGGTTCACAAGTTGGATTGAACTTGGAACATAAATTGAAGATCATGATTTGCGGCAGCCGAAACAGTTTGAAATTAATTGCGATAACTTCTTTTATGAAAATCACAAATGGCTCTCAACTTTCAGTAATTACAAACCAGGAAACCGAGAAATTTTCCCACAGGTTAAAAAAAGAAGTTCATGCTATCTTATCATATAACCCCAATTTGACTCGAAACAACAGCAAGTCAACAGCAAGCTTGCAACAAAATTCCTATCTCAGATGATCCTAAAAGGCAGCAGCAGATATGATAAAATGCATTTTTTCAAAATAAAATGATTGTTCCTCAGTTTGTGATATACATTTCAAATAAGTAGACGAAGTATTAATGTTTTCAAAAATTAACATTGCCAATTAAAGTTTGGGAAAAAGAATTGAACGGTCAGAATATACTGGGTAGACATTTAGTGGGCATCTAATTTGCCCTTTGCCTATCTTCTTCAGATAATACGTAAGCTTACCAGAATTTAATTGCTTAATTGTTTGATTTTTTTGTAGATGTATTTTATGTCTGACGAAAAAAATTCGTTCTTTTTTTCTCGAACGCAAATAAACATAAAAAAACCGACTTCTTTCGAAACATGCTTAACTTTCAAAATTCAAAAAAAAATAGATGCCCTTCAAGCTATTTGAATTTCTAGATCGATTTATGACTGGCGTTTTTTTGATAACATTACCCCAACTTGAGAAAACCGGATCAACCGGTAAAGTTTTTGTTTCGCTGGAAATCTAAAAATTAAATCCCCACGTTTTTGCGCCATTTCCACGTTCGTATTTGGAGAAAGTTATTTACGTCACTTTCAGCAGACGAGTTTCAGAGTTTCAATTGAACTCAAAAAATGCATATATACCTAATTATCAACTATCTATTGACTCAGTTCTATTCTGGCGCCAGAATTACTTATTATTTATTATAGCAGTTTAAAGAGAACTTAAAAACTGTGCACGCAGAAATGTATTGTTTCGCGGCTGGAAATATAATTTCTTTTGGAGACTTTTTCATTTGAAAAAGACCTAAATAACTGTCCTCAACTCGTCAGTGAAACCTAGTTCCCAGTTGCTGTGCTATTTTACTGAAATTTTACCATTCCAAAATTAAAACAAAACCAACAGACAGTTGGAAAAGAGTCAATGAACGCAAATAAACAGAAAAAAATACTGACTGTTTTTTGAAAAAAAAACGTCAGCTTTCGAATTTCAAATAAAAAAGTATATGGCCTTAAGGTTCTTTGAATTTATAGAACAGTTTAAAATTAAAGTTTTTTTGATAAAATAACCCATTTTGAAAAAACATGATCAATAAGTAAAATTTCTATTTCGCTGGGAAATTTGAAAATTAAACTCCACTTTCGAAACTAGAAACAAATCACGTTTTCGCGACTTTTACACTTTTGATATTGGATAGTGGCGTTTGCGTTTCTTTTCAACAAAGGAAATGAAATGAAAATAAAAAGAAAGCAAAAGTCAAACTGCGACAAAGTAAATTTGAGCCTGAACAAAATATCAGACTTTTCCAGAAAAGAAACCCAAAAAATCATCGCGACTTTTATAAGAGTCTGAATTAAGTCTTCGTGAAAAAAAAATTCTTGTTTTTATAGGTTTTTTTTCAGATATGGACCTCGCATTAAACTTCGTTAGAATGAAAAAAAGTAGCCGCTGATTTATCCAACAAAACATCTCAAAAACTGAACTTAATAAACATAGACCACAGATGGTTGGAAATGTGTAAGCAAAAATACAGAAAACCAAAATAAAAATATTTAAAAGATTTAAAACTAAACTTTTGTAGCTAAATAAAGTTGCATAAACATGATATTATTTATCCTGAAGATATTCGAACAATCGTCGTTTATAAACTAGATGCATGATTTCCATTAAAACAAGCCTTTTTCATCAGTATTTTATGTCAAGGTTTTCAAGGTAGTATGCAGTTTCCGAAAAACCACAATCCCGCAGCTAAATTTAAAAGCCCGAGGAGAAAGTAGGAAAAATGGGAAGAAGAGAAACGGTAGATTTTAAGGGGCTTTTTAAAAACAGAGACGGCCTATTAAATTATTTTTGTCCAATGAGCTTGCAGTTTGATAAATGATTTACAGTTTTAAGTTGCTTACACTTCATAATTTTTTTCACTTGATTTTTCTGTGTTTTTAAACAATTTTAAACAGCACACAGGAAATTGCATGTCTAATCGGATTTTGAGTGAAAATATCAGAAAAAACTTGACGCAATAAGCTTTCATATTTTCGTAAGCTGGGATATACAAGGTACCACCTCTTCATAGTTCAGTAGAAAGATGTGAATTTCAGAAAAAATAAAGATGCGTTATTAAAACCATAAGCCAATCAAAAATTGCGTGTCAAATCTGTCAACTTAACATAAATTCTTACCATCTCATTTACTGATTCTCAGTAGCATCAAAAAAACTTCGCTTAATAGCATACTTTCTCATATCTCCCAAAATCAAAAATTGCCAATCAAAAATTGCGTGTCAAATCTGTCAACTTAACATAAAATCTTACCACCTCATTTACTTATTCTCAGTAGCATCATAAAAACTTCGCTTAATGGCATACGTTCTCATATCTACCTAAAAATCATTTTAAGCCCAACTAAATATATTACCAAAGAAGAATTCGTACAATTTTTCCGGGGAGACATTTTGCAGTTATATTTTGTTCATTCCCATTAGTTATGTTCTCATCGCCATTTGCTTAAGACCTTATTTTGAATTGAGGATGAAGCTTATATTTCAGCTACAATAAAATAACATCATTCTTGGTGACACCCCTACAACCCAAATCAACCGATAAACATGAACGACCTTCAAGCGCAGGCGAATAACGACTCACACATAGTTTTGAGAATGGAAAAACTTACAAATAACGCGCGCTACTTCAATGACTCAAAAGGCAGCTCGGACGTTCAGATGGGCGGTTCCATGGCCTCAAACGGATCGAACGAACCTGAAGGAAATTACCTTCAACCTTCCGCTTTGATGTATCCACCGATTTTTACCATCGGCATTATCGTCAATTTGATCGTTTTTTGCACTTTTTATTCAGCCGGTAAATTAAGTAAAATTGTTGTCCTTGTTTGCAATATGGCAGTTGCTGATTTCTGCATGTTATTGACCGGTAGTTATTTGCAGTATTACCAAGTTTTATCTCTCGGAAACGAAACTTTGTGTCAGGTTATGAATGCCGCCGACATCGCTTTTCTTCACGTGTCGGCTTTTACTATTGTCGTCATAGCTTTCGAGCGTTTTATACGACTCAACTATCCTCATTTTATAGTCCACGAGAACAGCTATTATCCCGAAGTTTTGGTGTGCGGCATCATTTGGATTCTGGCGGCTGCCGCCGCTATGCCAGTGGTATACCACGGTGGATTCGATGGCGAGAACTGCAACAACAGTATGGCTGAGAACTTTTCCAGGGTCTATTTTTCTGTGATTTTCTTCACCTCCTACATCGTTCCAGGGGTGGTAGTTGGTCTTCTGTACACGTCAATCATAGTGAAGACATGCTCTTCAGCAAACGCACAAGTTCTGCAACCGATAAACCAGCATAGAATCACCCAAATGCTGGCTGCGATAATAGCCCTGTTTTGGCTATTCCACATGCCGTTTTGGTACTGTCTTATCAAAACCATGTGGTTCCGGGAACCAAGTGAACATTTCACGTACGCCGTTGTGCTTACATATCTAAACGCCACAACAAACCCTTTCATGTACTTCATGTTACGAACATACCATTGCAGAGACTTCATCAAGTGTTTCTATATCAGAATCCGATTTATCTGCCCATGTAAAAAAGCCGCATCCGGTAGCCGCAAAGACAACAACGACAATGACGCCGACGACGATGACGATGATTTCCAATACGCATGCGACAATACACAGAAAACGCCCTTCGATGCACGAAAATTATCCCATCAGAATCGAACCCCAATCAAGTTTTATGATTTGAATGGAAAGAAAAGCAGCTTGGAGAAAAACGTCGGCATTCTTACTCAGGATCAACAGATGAGGTTACATATAATTTCTGAACAAGCTGAAATCTAGAAAATGAGAAAACATTTCAAAAATAAAAAGATAAGACAGCTGTAAAAAAAAAACAACAAATTTTGTTTAAAAACGTTCAGAAGAAAAAACTAAATATAAAAAGATAAATGTGTTCCAGGTTTAACAAAGGTCAACAAGGTCAACCTCAAGGAGTGTACGGACACCAAACTCAAGTGGCCACAGTGGGGGCTAGAAAGAACCTCCAGGTACCTTATGGCCATGCTGCAAACTACGTGAAACAAGAGCCAGTTCTCATGGCCAAAAAAGTGGCAATATATCGACGACCAATTCATGAAACTGGCCTTTAGGCTAACAACTTTGTCGTTTCAATGACACTTAAATGGGCTTTCCGAAAAATCAGACGACATAACGAAACACAGTTTCAGCATGTTGGCTCAAAGATTGACAAAAATGTTCAAAGGAAAAAAACACGAACAGATACAAATTTGCTTAGAAAAAAATTAGATTAGAAATTAATGTCCCAAATTCCGCTGTGCGGAATATAATTGTTTTAGAAAAATTATACTTAATCAAATCTTGTTCAAAAACCGCTGTGCGGGATATTTTATATTTATCATCCAGGACATTTGTAAATTACTGCAGTTTCCCTATAACACAATAATTAAAATTTGAGTGTCGGATCTTTGTTACAATAGTCAATGACAAAGTTGCTTGTATCAGGGCCAAGCCCTGAAAATTCCAACAGCCATTCACCGTCTTTAAAACAATTTATGAAACCATCAACTAAAAACTGATAAAATGTTCAAAAAATATATTAGAAAAAATCCACCCACAAGCAATACCAAGTACAAAATGAAAAACTTAGCGTCTAACAACGTTTTAACAAAACCACTCGTATATCAAAGCGAAGCCTTGATTGTTGCCGACTGCCATTTAGGGCAGACTTTTAAGTTTTTAGGTTGAAAAATTGACGAATTAGTCGAAAAAGTTTTTTTTTCTTCATTTTTTCTTATTAATTTATTCCCGGTACGCTAATATAAACTACAAAGGGATAAATTTAGAGTCTTTTATTCTAATATTACAACCAAATGACTAGCCTCAGTTCAATTTGGAACCTATTAATCCGCCGCTAGCGCGTGTTACAAGAGCGCAATATATCGCGCGTTAATTATCCAAAATTCGTCAAATTAGCAATTTCTTAACCTCCAAAACGTAACAAAAAACAACACGAGGTGAAATTTGTCTTTGAACTTCAGCTCTAGACAAAAATATCTTTTAGACGCTATAAAAATTCCGTCAAAAAAACCAATTCAAAGATAAGTTTACCTCCAGCTTCTGGCAAAATTTAGAGAAAAACTATTTCTGAAAAAAAGTTCGAACCAGTCAAATTAATAAACAATTTTAGCCGAGTACTTTGCATTCAGCCAAAAATTCATTTCCTCAATCTGCTTATCGTTCCTTCACTGAACGCGAACTGACCATAATGAAGACTTGGGGTTTTAATAATAAACATAGCCAATCGAAGATCGACACAAGTAAACATAAAAAAAACATTGAATTTATTGAAAAAAAAATCGAAATTTCGAAATTCAAAGAAAAAAAATGCCTTTTAAGCTCTTTGATATTCTGAAACGAATCATGAATAGTGCTTTTCTGATAACATTAACGCAACTTGAGAAAACTGCATCAACAGGTAGAGTTTTTATTCCGCTGGAAATCTAGAAATTAAATTCCACTTTCGAAACTAGAAACCGTCAACGAATTTTTGCGTCATTTGCACATTCGTATTTTGAGAGTGCCAATTATGACAGTTTCAGTAAATGAATTTCAATTGAACTCAAAAAGTGCACATATACCTAAGTGCATCATTATTTTAACACTTTCTCCTGAAAAAAAAGCAAAAAAAAAATCAGCAAGACCTATATAAGAGTCTTCACTACGATCATTACTATTGAACACAAATGCTTGTGTTAGGGCAAAACCCCGAATTTTCTGACTGAGTTTAAAATTTATGGAGCGTTCGCTTTTAAAAATAGGATCGATTTATCAAAAAAATGACAAAAAAAAATTTCGAAAGTTTTTTTTAAAAGCAATCCCCCCCACACACACATTATGCATTATTTTTGCATATATATTTATGATATTTTTGGCTTGTAGGAAATTGTTAGTTATGTAGGACAAATAGCATGCGTCAAGTCAATTTGGAACAGCTTCTGAGACGGGTCAAACCACCGCTTACGCGTTATTAGCACAAAAAATATCGCGCGTTAATTATCTTTAATGGTATTCACGATATATATTTTGGCGATTAACTTTGACACAATAAACTTTGACACAACAAATATTTTGGCCAAATTAGAAAGCATCGAATTCGGAGGTCAGTTTTTTGTCATACAAAAATTACCTGGTAACTTGATTGCAGTACATCGATAACAATGCTGACAAACTAAACATGTTTCCCACCAGTTGTGATGTACCACAAGGCTCAGTTCTTGGCCCCTTATTTTTTTCTTTAATATGTGAAGTTTTTTTCATAAATTATTGGAAAATGTAAGCCGGTTATTTGCTCATGGCAGTAAAATGTGATGATCATAAAACATCGGGTATTTTTCACCAGCATCTTAGAAAAAAGCTAAACAATGGTTCTAAAATAATCTTCTACCAATTATTGCACTGTCTTAAATTTTGTAACAATTAGTTATAATTTCGATATTTGTCTCAATGAAAACCACCCAGAGCGCAAATATTCTGTCACTAATAACAAAAGTTGTAAGAATAACAAATAGCACAGAATGCTGCAACTATAATATTAAAAAACTAAAAACAATTTTTTTCCAATTGCGACGATTTTTTTTGGTGCGACAATAGAATCTTAATAAAATTCTTGAGTGTTCATAGTAAAAGTAAGTTAAAAACATTCGACAACAGTTTTCCACATCAGTAACATGAAAAAATAAAAGCAATTTGAAAAACTTATTTTTTGACAACGTATTTGATAACTTATTTCACTATACAAAAACTAAGTAATAGTAAATTTTTCAAGTTTAAAACTAAAACTAGCAATATTACGCTTATTACATATTAAACTAAATAATTTTACTCGCCACTGGAATATGTTCCTGGAAATTTTCATATGTAGTTCGAATCACGCCGTGTTCGAATCACACGGCTCATTCCGATGATTATTTGTGGTGTCTGATTTTGCGTGAAAAACAAAAAAACATGGATAACAAGTTATTGTGCAAGTAGCACAGAAGTTTCCGAACATAGTTTTAAAAATTTCAAGAAAAAAAAGTTTTTTTTAAATTTAATGTGGTGTGAAAAAAGGTCTGACCTAAAACTAGAAAATAGTTTTGACCTAAAACTAGAAAATAGGAAATGTTGATGTCCATACTCGAAAAGACAAATTGGACAACAACTTATATAGAAAAATGGCTAGAAAAACAAAAAAAAAATTAAAAACTTATAAAAATCTTTTCAATTTGTTTGCAGAAAGTTTGTTTCTTTGGAATTTTTCATTTCAAAAATGACACTAAAAACTCCGAAACTAACTTTGCTTGCGTAAATCTAAGTTTTCATAACTTAAATTGAATAAATAATTTAATTTTAGTTTGCTCGCTCGCTTTCTTTGCTCGAAATTGAGCAAACAATCATAAATTTTAGACAGTTTTTCTCAAAACTTTCTCAAACTTTTTATGTCGTTTGAATCACGACTGAAAGGGACTCAAATTAATTCCGATGATTAATTGCGGTACCTGATTTGGTACATGTAGATAAACAAAAAAAACTGAAACAAAAGCGATTACAAAGTTTCTACCAATTTTCAATGGTCGCAACACAAACTGAAACACAGTCGAATGATAAGTTCTTCTCAATTTTCTCAGGTCAAATTAATGAGCTGAGTAAAAACGGGCTAAATACCTGAAACATGCTTCATACACAGACGCGAAGCTGGGCTTCGCAGACACAAGCAATGAAAATGCCAAACAGAGCTCTAAAATGGCAGAATAGGCAATAAGGAAAAGATTAACTATAAGCCTTGAGAAACATATTGTAGTGAGATTAGCAGCATCACGTATCACGTTCTCCCATTTGCTCCACAAACGCTTGTAACTTTACTTGCACTTGCCTGCAGTAAAACAGTTACAGTTTCTATGAAATTGCCAATGCTACGCAGCAAAAAATCGACCAAAAAATTATAACTATTTCAATGTTCCGGATTTAAACCTCGGACCTGTTGATTAGGAGTCTCACCTCCTCGCATCTGCGCCACGGTCTCTTAGAAGTAAGCTACTAGTGGCCCAGCTAATGCTGGATCCACTTGTTTTAAAATTTTTAATGAGAATCGAACCTACGATCCAGAGATTTAGAGTCTAACCACACAGCCACGGACGCTTAATAGGCAACAAACACAAGTAAAACAGCGAACAGTCGTTATGCAATTTCCAATGCTAGAAAAAAAATTTCAAATAAATGAACGCTTTGGATAAAAAGTTTTATTCGCTTAGAAAAAAAGGTTCCTATTAATACACTATGCTGATGGCTAGTGTAATCATAAGGTATTGACACGGAAATGAGTAATTTTCAAAAAATTGACTTTTCCTTAATGCATAAATTTTTCTCTACTAAAACATGGGAATATCCCTTTATGCAGCGAATATGTCCACACCCTGATCTTTAGATTGAGCCCTAGATATCAGATTTAGCTAGTTGTTTTCGAAAGTAGTGATGAATTTTTTTTAAAAAAAAAAACGGTAAGAACTAATGGATTTTCCAGAGTCTATATCAACTTTTCTACAAGTAAAAAGCGTGAAACAGATTGCACAGAAAAATCTAAGCACCATATTAGCTTGAATGTACTACCAACTCAGAAACAACAGGTTAGTTTTTGAAAAAAAAAGTTTCCAAAAAACAAGCTCAAAAATTGTACATTATCTAAGGCCATATTTTTCTCAAAACGCAAGGCATAGCCGTTTGCGCAGGGAAGACTCTTATAATTGATTGGTTTTCTTTCTGTTAAAACCTCAATCTCCAATTTGGTAGAATAGTTTTTAAGAAAATTCAAAAAACTTTAAATATTAACAAAACATTATAAAATGCCTCTTTGAGGCCATAATTTTTTTTCTACCAAAATTAGGGAATAGACGCTCAAAAGGTGAGACACTCATAATTTGTTCTTTTGATTGAAACATTCAATTTAGATTTGAGTTTGAATGAAATATCAACCTCAGAATCAGCAGGTTAGGTTTTGAAAAAAATTAAAAAGAGTCCAAAAAACGGGCCAAAATTCAAAAAATTGGACGTTGTCTAAGGCATGTTAGTTTTGAAACACAACGCATAACCGTGCACAAAGTTGGCATAACTAGCCACTTATCTTTTGGTCAAAACCTTAATCTCCGATTTGGCTGAGTAATTTTTCAGAAAACTCAAAAAATTTTAAGATTTAACAAAAGGTCAAAATAACAAAATGGGCTTGTTTGAGACCATAAATTGTTTTTACGGATTTTATGGAACAGCTGCTTAAAAAAGCGAGATTCCTGTAATTTTTTCTATTGAATGAAACCATCATCTCATATTTGTGTATTTAATATTTCCGAAAAAAAAATTCACAGATACGTCAAAAGTACCTCTATTAATAATTTCGAAGAGCGTAGAACGTGCGATAAAATGAATAGAGACTCACGAAGTATGCAGGCATATAGAATAGCAGCGGGTTTGGCACCTTGTTTTTGAAAATTCGCAGAGTAGGTTTTGAGAAAAGTGCAAAAAATTTCCAAAGTTTCGCAAGAAAACAACAAAAAACAATAAAACTCACATATTTTTATTATACCTGTTTCTTTCAAACAGGATCTTACACTAGCCAAAAATAAAGCAGTAAAATATGCTTTCAAATTACTTATGCTTAAATAGGTTTAAATATAATTAAATTGAAATATACCTAAGCGGTCTCCAAACCAAACCAACAGTCATAGGAGAAAAATGAGCTGGAACACGGCTATTCATTTATCTATTTTGTTAAAAAACCACGCAATCTAAATTCATTAATGAATACTTATTGGCTCCACCTGAAATTTCTGTTCGAAAATGGAATCAATTCAGTTGAAATAATCTTTTTGTCAAAATGCTTAAAATAACATCAACAGGTGGAATTCGGAACAGTTGTGTAGGTTATGTTGCAATAGGCAAAGAAGGGTGTTCAACAGTACCGGGACTAGAAAATTGTTAAACATGAAATTTGATGATATTTGGCGCTGTTGAACTGCATTTTTTCGACACTTTTGTACTTCGGCACTGATGTACTGCTTTCATTGGAGAACATTCTACAGCTAACTGAACTTTACTGCATTGCTGAACCTATTAGGTAAATTAATCCTGCGTAAAATAGACTAAGTTTGATTGGAACGCTCTAATTAAAGGCCTTGCTTAAAAATTCGTTGTGAACATACAGGGCCACAAAAAGAGAAAATAATTTTTTTGACGCAAGTTCACATTATTTTGAACTTCGTGGCATTTTGAATGATTATTGAATCCTAAACCTGTTAGCGAAATTTCCCCACGAAATTGCCCTTTTTGACTCAAGATTGCGAAAAAAACTCGTCGGTATAAAAACTACCAGAGCAAACAAAAAATCAGCCGAGCGGATAAAAACAAAGTCAGTCACTTTGTTTAACAACCAGAACAAAAATGAAATGAAACATCATATGTGCTGACGAGAAGTCATGATTCAATTTGACGGTAAACGCGAAAATTTAAACTCAAGAAAACCAAGAAAGCGTGGATTTTATTTAAAGTTTTTTTTCGGGTCATTTTTTTTCGGGTCATTGCATTCTTTGGAGAATCTGCGCATGATTTTTTTTTTGTTGAATCTAGGTTTGGAGGGTTATAAAAATGCCTCAAGTACCGATTGAATAGGGGAGATGACTCAATTGGATCCTATTTATTTTTCTATGTGCTAGGTATCGTTTTCTCCATTTTGACAACCCTAAAACAGTTCAAATAACCTATCAGCGCCATACAGGGTCAAATATACTATCAAAGCCACAAAAACAAGGATTCCAAAAAATAATCTCTTTGCCGAGAAAAATTGATCTGAATTTTTCTGTTTTTCATTCTAAAAGATACAAAATTTACAAATGACATGATAAAAGGCTGACCTCAGTATTTCTTTCTACTACAGTGTTCATGTTAATTCGGCTATTATAACCTCCCCTTTTGCAGTGTTCATCTAATTCAGTCCCATACAGTGCACGCCAGAACCTTTTATCTCACCACGCAGAAAAAAACTGCTTTCAAAAATTTTCTTGTAGCTTTTTAAAGACTATTTTCGGGACATTCTGTGCTACTTGCACAGTAAACGGCCATCCTTGTTTCGTTCTAGCTTTGAAGATTTCGTTTTAGCTTTGATACGAAGACTTCGTTTTATTATTCGAAGTCCCTTTAAGAAACTGAAATCTGACACCTTCTTACGATACCAAAAATATGAAGCTTCTTTCGTTTACATGCAAAATTTGAGATGAGTTATTTCTTTTTATTTTTTTTTTCATTTCTATATCAACAATTATGTAAAAACATCAAATTCAATTGAACTGAGATTGAATACAAGTTTGTCAAGGCTGAAGAAACCTCTCCCGCTTGACTATTGATTGAATTGCAATCATGATTGAATTGCGTTAGTGTCCTACGGCATTTTAGTACGGCATTACTACGGCTCCCTAAAAATAATTAAGAATTCTCAAAAGCTTATTAACTATTGTTGCCTTCTTTAATCGTTAATAAGGATGTCAAAATTTAATTAAACTCCGCCGCATTCATTCGATTGTGTTTATTCTTTGGGTCACCTCATGACTTTCGAAAGATCACTTTTTGTTTCGTGGGCGGTGGTGGCATTTAATATAATATTCACTAAAAGGCCGTCGTAAAAAACAAGTGGGTGAAATCTAGTTCAAAAAACTGCAAAGGATAATTGAAAAGTCTCAATCAGCAATCGTGAACTCTCAAAGGCGGCTTATAACAATTGCAGTGAATAAGTGAACTTTAAAAGCAATTTGCATTTTTCAAACTAGACACATTTTCATTCAACCGAAGTGTTGGCCGACAAAAACTCTCGTAAATGGGTTAGCATTAAAAACGAAATAATGACAGCCATAGCATCCATCGTCAGCACAGATATTAATTCAGCTACCATAAATTGACTTGATAAAAAAGGTGATTAGAAAAGACAACACGGCGCAGGACGCTGTTGTCTCTTGTTTTTTTTTCTTAACTATTCAACTAACTTCCGGAATTTCATGTCATAACCTTTAAATAAGGAAATTACACAACACATGAACTAGTATTTATTCAAACATTGAAAGAGAAAGTTTTAAAACTACACAAATGCTTCTGAGCCACAGAAGTCGATTTTTTTCGAAATTTCCAAAATTTCTGTCTGAACTCAAGAACAAATTGATCCTATAAAAAGATATCATAAAATGTCACATGAAGTGTTTGATGGCAATAATTTTCATTAACAAAAAAATCAACGAAACGAACCATCAGCTGTCAAATCTAGGAGAGCAGTGGCAGTTTTTTCGGCCTGCTTCTTTTCGGCCAGTTTCACTTTGCGAAGGTGATCGGCGTAGAAGTCCGTCAACTCTTTCGGTAGTCCTTGGCCCGCATCGCGAGGCGGCAACAAAATACAATTGTCTCGGTCCCAACCTTTCATCATCCTCAACGTTTTCTCCTCTTCTAGATGTTGATTGTCAAACTCCACTGAGTATATTTCAACAGGGAAGTCACTGGGATTCGCAACAACGACCTCCTGTTCGTCGCCAGCAGAGTGAGGTAGACACGGTCCGAACTCGAGGAAGTTTTTGGTGAAGTGAACCCCGAGTTCAAATCCGGATCCACTGCATTGTAAGCCCACTTTGGAGCTGCTGTGGGATATTTTGAGAGTCAGTCGCTCTTCGTATTTTTTCTACAGCACAAAACAACTTAAAAACAATTCGTAAAAGAAAACAATTTTTTTAATGTAAATTAAATTGATCATTACTTGACCTCAATTTTTTTTGAGATACAATTTATATGTCTTCTATCTATGCTCTTTGCCTGTACTAAAACTGGTCATTGCATGTACTAAAACTGGTCGCCACGCGTGAAACTATTGCGACGAATTTTTCAAATATGCAATATAACAGAAATTGAACGGTTTTTACATGCGACATGAATAGCTGGTTGACCTCATCTGATCAATATATTTGTAATATTTGGTAACTGACGTCACTATAAGAACCTGTTGCAGCGGCATGAATTTAATCTGCACATTATATCTCTGTCCTGGCATCAACACACCGGCACTCGGGATGACTTCAAACACATTGACCACCCTTCTCTCTTTCTCCTTCTTCTTTTTTATCTTCCAAGGCTGGTTAGTCGTCGACCAATCATCTCTCTCCTTGTTCGGCTTTGCGCTCTCCGCTGATTGGCTAACGACTACCCACTCGCAAGGCACTCGTTTGTGGTTGAAAAATTGGACGGTGATTATTTTGCACTGCGAGCAAAGCACTTGGCCGAAGTCTAGGACACTATCAGAGATGGTCATGCTAGGCATTGTCACATGGGCTTTGAGAATGAGCGCAGAAGAGGGTCCGTTTTGAACCTGAAACAAAGACTGTCTTGTACCAATTTTATACACGGATATGACGAATATATAGATTGCTAGAAGATTAGATGCTCCGCTTTTGAACTTCGAATTGAGATTTGCATACAAACTATTTTTGACAAACTTCAACACAACCAACAGCCAACAACTAATTATATAATTCAAAGGCTCAGCCAACAACTAATTATATAATTCTTGGTTGAAAGACGCTTATTTACCACAATTGATTCGTTACAAGAAGCGAAATCTATCCTTTTGCACTTTATATGGCGTGTGGGGGGATGAGTTTCATGAAAAATTTCAAATTATAGAAAAAAAAGTTTTCTTTTTATTTTATTACATTTAACTTTTTAATGTTATTACTGCCCCCATAAACCTTGAAAGGCAGTCAAAACATTCGGGGCTTCGCCCTGATACGAGCAGTCTTGTTTTGAACTTTAAAAATGACATTCACAATGAAACTAAAATTTCGGAGAATTTTTCCCCTTGCCACAGCGTGATTTGGGCGCCGCTTGGAAACTGAAATTGAAACTCAGAGGCGAATCTGAGCTTCGCGTCACTTAAGTTACAAAAAAAAGTCAAATAAGACTGCTCGTATCAGGGCGAAGCCCTGAATGTTCCGACTGCCTTTTACGGCTTATGGAGCAGTAGTAACATGTAATTAAATGTAATAAAATAGAATGAAAAAAAATTTTTTTCTAAAAATAATTTTTTTTAAATCATCCCCCCACACGCCAGTACAAAAAAAATAGATTTCGCTCATTGTAACATTTTTCTAAAATTTTTTCTAAAATTTGATTTTTTTTGAAATCATCTTTCCACACGCCATATAAAGTACAAAAGAATAGATTTCGCTCATTGTAACAAATCAATTATGGCAAATAAGCTTCTTTCAACCAATTTGGAACGATTTCTAACACGGATTAAATATTCGCTTACGCATTAATAGCGCGAAATACATAGCGCGTTAATTGTCCCAAATTGGCAAAGTTTAAACCCCCATAATTTTACGAAAAATGATCACAGGTGAAATATCTTTTCAAATTTAAACTCAGGACAACAATAACTTTTGAAAAAAAAATCCGTCAAAAATGCCTAGTTAAAAAGTCGAAGTTTGTCTGGAGAAAAAAAACCATCTCGAGCCCAAATCTTCCATTACTTTCGTATCGGAAGTCGGAACAAAGACAAACGATAATATCTCAAATGAAAAGCGAAAACCTTGAAGGTTTCTGTTGAAGAAATCGTAAACAAAATAATCAAGAAAAAAATGTTTGCAAATTTTATAGAAAAAAATTACCCAAAACATAAGAAAAATTCGGGCTAATTTAACTTCGTTTATATGCAATAGATGGCAACGATAAGAAAAAAAACATTGGTAAAAAATCGAGACCCAAACATTCCTAAAATTACTCAAAAACTTTGCTTAAAACCTTGCAATCAGACAAAATACATTTCTACAAGAAAAATTGGGGATAGAAAAACCTTTTTGGTTATATGCTCAAATTAGGCAAATTCATAACTGAAAAACATCGAACAACCGAAAAAAAAAGATCTTTTCTAGGACACAAAAATGGATGGCAGCCAAAATAACTTTTAGCCATCTTAATTTGTTGCTTTTATGTTCCATTTAACCATGTCCGATTGCTCCAATCACAGAAAATGGGAAGGAGCTTTGTCTTCGAGTGTTTTAGTTTCTATATTTCGAACCAAGCAGAAAAAAATGTCTGAAAAAAATGTCTAAACCGGCTACAAATTTTTGCTTTTTAGTCTCATTTGGAGAGGGAAGGGAGTGAGTAGTGATCGCAGAGCCCATATTGAGTTATAAAAGAACTTTTAGCTCAACTTAGCCATTTTTTAAATCTGGCACTTTCCCAGCATGAAACTTTCATGACAATCAAAAAATCTTTCATCAAAACTTGAAAAAAAAAGTGTCAGAAAACACAATTTTACTTTTCGATTTTGTTGAAACAATTGTCATAGATTATTGAATCCAGTTAAAGCTTCTACACGCTATGTTTTGTCTCTCTCTCGCTCTCCGCAACAAGTGTAACAAATTGTTTAGTAATTAATAACTGTGGCTGAAACCTTGTGTGCTACTTGTTAAAATCTGGATTGGTTTTTTCCGCTTCGTTCATCAGTAGGTTGAAACGAATGCAGGGGCGTTTTCAGCAATGTTATAAGATTTCGGGTCCAATTTAAATGTTCCTCCGCTAACGAGGAGATTTAAGAACTATCTAAAAGCATCACTATATCACTATCGCTGAAGCTAACTATTCATTGACGGCCCTTTTCCACTATAGAACCACAAAACACTACCAATGGTGGATGGAAAAATAAAATTGCGACCAGCAGGAATTGGGCAATTAAATTTTTGTTACGACCATTGAAAATGGGGAGAAACTTTGTCTTCGAGTATCGAGTGAGCTTTAGTATTTCACCTTTTTTAAACGTAAAATTAGGAATAACAAATAATCATCCGAATGGTTCAAATGATATGTATATATATTGAATCCTAAAACATTCCTAAAATTACTCAAGAACTTTGCTTAAAACCTTGCTATCAGACAAAATACATTTCTACAAGAAAAATTGGGGATAGAAAAACCTTTTTGGTTATATGCTCAAATTAGGCAAATTCATAACTGAAAAACATCGAACAACCGAAAAAAAAAATCTTTTCTAGGACACAAAAATGGATGGCAGCCAAAATAACTTTTAGCCATCTTAATTTGTTGCTTTTATGTTCCATTTAACCATGTCCGATTGCTCCAATCACAGAAAATGGGAAGGAGCTTTGTCTTCGAGTGTTTTAGTTTCTATATTTCGAACCAAGCAGAAAAAAATATCTGAAAAAAATGTCTAAACCGGCTACAAATTTTTGCTTTTTAGTCTCATTTGGAGATGGAAGAGAGTGAGTAGTGATCGCAGAGCCCATATTGAGTTATAAAAGAACTTTTAGCTCAACTTAGCCATTTTTTAGATCTGGCACTTTCCCAGCATGAAACTTTCATGACAATCAAAAAATCTTTCATCAAAACTTGAAAAAAAAAGTGTCAGAAAACACAATTTTACTTTTCGATTTTGTTGAAACAATTGTCATAGATTATTGAATCCAGTTAAAGTTTCTACACGCTATGTTTTGTCTCTCTCTCGCTCTCCGCAACAAGTGAAACAAATTGTTTAGTAATTAATAACTGTGGCTGAAACCTTGTGTGCTACTTGTTAAAATCTGGATTGGTTTTTTCCGCTTCGTTCATCAGTAGGTTGAAACGAATGTAGGGGCGTTTTCAGCAATGTTAGAAGAAAAAAAAAGATCTTTTCTAGGACACAAAAATGGATGGCAGCCAAAATAACTTTTAGCCATCTTAATTTGTTGCTTTTATGTTCCATTTAACCATGTCCGATTGCTCCAATCACAGAAAATGGGAAGGAGCTTTGTCTTCGAGTGTTTTAGTTTCTATATTTCGAACCAAGCAGAAAAAAATGTCTGAAAAAAATGTCTAAACCGGCTACAAATTTTTGCTTTTTAGTCTCATTTGGAGAGGGAAGGGAGTGAGTAGTGATCGCAGAGCCCATACTGAGTTATAAAAGAACTTTTAGCTCAACTTAGCCATTTTTTAAATCTGGCACTTTCCCAGCATGAAACTTTCATGACAATCAAAAAATCTTTCATCAAAACTTGAAAAAAAAAGTGTCAGAAAACACAATTTTACTTTTCGATTTTGTTGAAACAATTGTCATAGATTATTGAATCCAGTTAAAGCTTCTACACGCTATGTTTTGTCTCTCTCTCGCTCTCCGCAACAAGTGTAACAAATTGTTTAGTAATTAATAACTGTGGCTGAAACCTTGTGTGCTACTTGTTAAAATCTGGATTGGTTTTTTCCGCTTCGTTCATCAGTAGGTTGAAACGAATGCAGGGGCGTTTTCAGCAATGTTATAAGATTTCGGGTCCAATTTAAATGTTCCTCCGCTAACGAGGAGATTTAATTACTATCTAAAAGCATCACTATATCACTATCGCTGAAGCTAACTATTCATTGACGGCCCTTTTCCACTATAGAACCACAAAACACTACCAATGGTGGATGGAAAAATAAAATTGCGACCAGCAGGAATTGGGCAATTAAATTTTTGTTACGACCATTGAAAATGGGGAGAAACTTTGTCTTCGAGTATCGAGTGAGCTTTAGTATTTCACCTTTTTTAAACGTAAAATTAGGAATAACAAATAATCATCCGAATGGTTCAAATGATATGTATATATATTGAATCCTAAAACATTCCTAAAATTACTCAAGAACTTTGCTTAAAACCTTGCTATCAGACAAAATACATTTCTACAAGAAAAATTGGGGATAGAAAAACCTTTTTGGTTATATGCTCAAATTGAGCAAATTCATAACTGAAAAACATCGAACAACCGAAAAAAAAGATCTTTTCTAGGACACAAAAATGGATGGCAGCCAAAATAACTTTTAGCCATCTTAATTTGTTGCTTTTATGTTCCATTTAACCATGTCCGATTGCTCCAATCACAGAAAATGGGAAGGAGCTTTGTCTTCGAGTGTTTTAGTTTCTATATTTCGAACCAAGCAGAAAAAAATATCTGAAAAAAATGTCTAAACCGGCTACAAATTTTTGCTTTTTAGTCTCATTTGGAGATGGAAGAGAGTGAGTAGTGATCGCAGAGCCCATATTGAGTTATAAAAGAACTTTTAGCTCAACTTAGCCATTTTTTAGATCTGGCACTTTCCCAGCATGAAACTTTCATGACAATCAAAAAATCTTTCATCAAAACTTGAAAAAAAAAGTGTCAGAAAACACAATTTTACTTTTCGATTTTGTTGAAACAATTGTCATAGATTATTGAATCCAGTTAAAGTTTCTACACGCTATGTTTTGTCTCTCTCTCGATCTCCGCAACAAGTGAAACAAATTGTTTAGTAATTAATAACTGTGGCTGAAACCTTGTGTGCTACTTGTTAAAATCTGGA